TTCTGTTTTTGTTGGAAGAGTTTTATGAACTGTTGTATATAGAGATTTTGACCAAGTATTCATTATAGTAGTGGATACTGTTTTCTGACTAGGCTTGTTCATGTAGAAGTGTCTTTTAAGTTTTTTTTTCAGGGTCTAAACTGTTATTGTGTCATAGATGAAACAGCTTATAATGATGTTCTGGTTTTGTAAATGCTGAACTGTTTTTTTTTTTATCTTAGATGATATCTAAGATAACTGTAATATGTAAAAATTCTGTGTGGTGGCATTTGTCTTGTTTACCTAATAGAAAACACTTAATTTCATAGTAATAAAAACAAAAGTTTTTTGTTGTGATTTTTTTTAACCCCTCAACCATTTTTCAAAGAAAAATTTTTAATGCTGGTCATAAACATGAGGCAGAAAATAAATGAAGTCTCTTTATCTTTCTCTGATGATTGATAAATTGTTTCATTACATGACTGGACTTATTGAACCATTGGCAATCATAAAACATCAATTCTTTAACTACAGGTTCTAGTCAATAAAGATTTGATGCAACCCCCCCAATATTTAAAATAATTTTTATTCATTTGGACACTCTTACACTGAATTGGCATTTAAAAGGATTCTGTTGATCACAGCCAGGATAAAAGCTTGGAATATATATATTTCAAAGCTTTGGAAAACTACTAAGGCAGTGAAGAAATATGGGGCCTAGATCTAGTGGAGTATTCAATAGAAAACAATGGGAGCCAAAAGAAAGAAAACAACTGCCAACCTAGAATTCTCTACTCAATAAGTATAACTTTTCAACGTAAGGTAAAATAAAAATATTTTCAGGAAACAAAAATTAAGGGAATTTGTCACCAGCAGACCCTCACTAAAGGAAAAACTAAAAGGAGTTCTTCAGGCAAAAGGAAAATGATTCCAGATGGAAGCTCAGAGCTATCAGGAAGTAATGAAGAACAATGGAAAGGTAAATATGTAGGCAATCAATAAATCATGTTTGTGGGATTGACAGCAATGCAGGTTGGGAGGGTAAGTAGAGTTAATTTCTAAGGCTCTCACAGTGTTTAGGAGAGAATAACACAGGAAGTGATTTTAGACTTTGATAGTTGAGACTTGTCATTTGTTCCTTACTAGTAGCTGAGGAAGAGAGTCTGTAACTACTAAGCTAACAAAACAGGGAAATTAAATAATAAAGCAAAGGAAGAAAGAAGAGAAAAAATACCATAAGAATAATAACAGTATGCCCAAGTGAAAATAGACATACTGTTTGAATTAAAAATATGTGTATATGTTTTTACTTCTGTGGTAGAACACTTGCTTGTCATATATGAAACTGGGAGACCCCAGCAATTAAAAAAGGAGAAATAAAATTGTATTTAATACTTTATGAGAGGTCCTAGCCATAGACATAAGAAAGAAAAAGAGATAAAATGACTAAAATGATAAAGATTGTTGGGTGAGAAGATAAAAGGTAATAATTTATCATAATATGACGATGGGCTAGAAAACCAAAACTAGATAAACTTAGAATTAGTGAGTTTAAAAGCATGTTGGAACCAGGTGTGGTGGGGCATGCCTGTGCCCCAAGCACTGAGGAGGCTGAAGGAGGAGGATCATTGGATTCTGTTTGTGCATTTGAGATCAGTGTGGGCACCACGGACAGCCTCTGGCTAAAAAGCCAAACAAACAAAAAACCAAAGTGGTTGGGCCAATAGGAAATTTCTATATGCAAATTCTCTGCAGAAAATTAAATTTAAAGAAATAATTTACAACAACATCAAAGAAAATAAAATTCTGAGGAATAATTATAGTAAAATGTATAAAACCTTATATATAATCTGTCAACACTGAAGGCTAAGGATTTAGCTCAGTGATAGCATGTCTGCTTACCATGCTTTAGGCCCTGGGTTAAATTCCCAGCACTGGGCAGGAGAGGGACCTAATATTTTCATGGATTGAAAAAGCCAATATTAAAAGTGTCCAGTTTTCAAAATTACTGCACTTATTCAGTGAAATTCCAGTGAAAGTCACATATATTCCAATTAAAATTAAGCCAGTATAAATATGAAGTGAAAAAAATGAGAACACAGAATCTGAGCAACACGGTATATTAAACTAGATAAGCATGCTTACTCAGCTTTGCTCATGAAGACAAGGCAGTTTTGATGATAGTTAGAAAGCATAGAAACAAACTCTAGGAATAGATGGATGTTCACATGATCTTTGACAGAGTGACACTGCAGAGCAGCAAGGAACAGGATTTCTCTAGTAGATGCTTATGTATCAATTGAATAGCTAGTTGTGAAAAATTGAAACTTTATCATTGAATAAATCTGTGTAAAAATCATTCTAAAGGAGTTATACGTATGAATGTTGTAGGTAATATAATAAAGGAACTAATAACATAGAATTCTTCATGACTTATGAGAAAGCTTTCTGCCAACAAAAAGCATTGAAAACAAAAACTATTCTGTACTGCAATAAAATTAAGACAGTGATAGATGATTAAGAAAGTGAGAAGATCAACTATAGAAAGGAAGATGATGCTTCAAATACACATATTTGCATGAAGAGATTATGTCCAGAATAAGTCAACTCTACAAGTTAATAAAGAAGAAGACATCTATTTGAAAAGCAGGAAGAGGAGTTAGTATGGTGGCACAGGCCTGAAACCCAACATTTGGAGACAGAAGTAGGAGGATTCCAATTCAAGGCCAGCCTGGGCTGCATAATGAAGACCCTGTCTTGAAAAAAAAATGAGGAAGAAATTTGAATTGACCCATAATATAAGAGACAATCTGGATGCCAGTAAAAATGAAAAGCTATCATCAGGTTCAATATATGGCACTGAACACCTTCCACAACAGCTAAAATGTAAACAGAATACCAAGTGTTGATGGAACAATGCAAAAACATACTGTTGACTGAGGCACAAATTGTTCCAGCCACTTTGGAAGATTAGGTACTGAAGCTGAACATACATGTACTGTATGACACGGAAATTCTACTCCTACTAATCTAATGTCTCTTGTCACACGAGGCAAATAACAAGGTTCTTTACGCATTGTTTGTAATGTGCAAATGCTGGAAACAACCTAAAATCCATCAAGACCAGAATGCATAAAATATGATAATTCATACAACAGAATACAGATGTATGTGAAGATGAACAGAATACAGTTACTGTCGAATAGGGTCATAAATGCAGTGCTGAATGAGAGGAGCTCAGTGCAAGAGAGTACCTGTCGTATAGTGTCATTTATATAAACTTCATTCAGAGCCTTTCAAAACTTAATAGTAGAAATCAGGATTATAGTTACACTGGGGGAAGACAGAAAGGATACTAGATTGGTATGGGACAGTAGAGGAATATCTAGGTACTTACATTCATGAATAGATGATGATGGATATGTTTATTCTGTGATGGTTTAGGGGGCTACCTACGAATGTGTTGTGTATTTGTGTGATATATATGTTGGAAAATCCTCCAGAAACCCACATGGGACATGTATAATGTGGTAGCCCCTGCAGCCTGCACAGATGCAGCCCTCCATTCACATTGCTCCTTCTCTGTTTGCCTTAGCAGAGAGACAACAGGGTTGGATTTTAGTTGAATCTTTATTTGTTCCCTCGTATACTTTTATTTTAAATTACCAGCAGTCTAGCTCTCGTGATGGGTACTAGACAGTGGGGGAGTTTATAGCAAAGGATTTTGAGACTTTCATATTTAATTGTTCCTGGGGCTAAGGTAACATTGCAGAAAAGAATTTCATGTCAACACAACAAAGGAAATAATTCCAAGACTTGTAGCAGTGGTCAGGAACTAGCAACCTGTTTTGTTTTGTTTTGTTTTGTTTTGTTTTTAATAGTACCTTAACTTTGATATATTAATACATGATTTTTCTTAAGTATTGTTAAAGCATGCTATTATGTTATAAAGAACATATTGACTAGTATACTATTTATACTAGCTATTTGACAAAGAAAAGGACATAAACTAAAGTTTGACTCACATTCAAATTCTGGCCTTGCTGTTTGCTGGGTACAGAACCTAAGGCAGGTGGTGTTTTTTTTTTTTTTTTTTTTTTTTTTTTGTGCCCCACTCTCTTTATGTCAAGAGAGGGCACTGTCCTTGCCGAGTGAAATTGCAGTGAGCTATTTAGATGGATTGAATAGCCCTGTGTGTGGCATATTTAGATTTGTTTCAGCCTATGTTAGATTCCTTCTTATCACATTGCTAATCCACTAATACTAGTATCTGTGGTAAAGCTGAAGACTCTAATGTGCTTACACTAATATTCTGCTAAGGCAGAATTATTCTTATTCACTGATGAAAATGAAATGAAGGGTTTTTTGTGAGTTAATCTTTGTTCTTTTTAATACCATAATCCAACCCTGTTCTCTCTTTTTGTAGTTTTTTATTGTAAAAATGCTCATGAGAAAATTTAAAAATTTTAAGAAAAATTAAAAATTATCCATGGCAATATCACTTAAAAATATACTTTTAAGATTTTAGTATGTTTTCTACCATTTGCTGTATATTCCATTGTCTGTATATTTTTAAATTGTAGTTTGAGATAGAACCATACATATGATTTTTGCTTCTCCAATTTTTTTCTTAATACATAGTATTTCTTAATGTTATTATGATTTCTTTATTACTTTAGGTAGCTGCATGGTATTACATCTTAGTGTACATTATAGTATAAGGATATTGTTATGGAGTTTCCAGTTTTTTGTTTTTGTTTGTTTGTGTTTTTTTTGTTGTTGTTATATGATGTGTTAAGCTTTTTTTTTTTTTTTTTGATGTTATCCTTAGATATATTTAGAGGAATGTAACAACTATATATTAGGGAAACATACTTTTATGGTTTTATATGTACATATTAGAAGTGCTATATGGAAAGAATATCAACTTATATTTCTGCAAGGAATACATTCATGAGTCCATTTTGTGTTACCACGAATAACAATAAGTTATTTAAAATACCCACTATTTCTCTTTATAGCACTTGTTTAGTGCTCAGCACAGAAGCCTGACCAGACAAAGCAGACGTCGGACAACTACCAATAACAGTCTGATGGAGCGCTTCTTGCAGGATGTCCTGCGACACCACCCCTACAATTATCAAGACAGCAGGTAAGGTAGTTCAATGGAATGTTAATGTTTGTGTCAGTGTTATATTCCCCCCGACCCCTGCCATCTTGCTTTGCAGCCCAGGGCTAGTCATGACTGGAAATGCTGTATAGCTCAGACTGCTCTCAAACTGTCAGTCTCTAGTGATGAGATTATATGAATGTGCCACCATACCTAGCTTAGTCTGTATTTGAATTTAAAAATACAAGGTACAAAATTATTTTGTGTTTATAGGACTAGGGATCAAACCTAAGGGCTCAACTATGCCTGCAAATATTTTACCATGGATGCACTCCCTGCTCTGTAGTAAACTGCCTTATTTAACCAATCAAAATAAATAATTGGAAATGAAAGTTACTGGAAAGTGGTCGAAAAGCAGGCAACAGAGTCCATGTAAGAGTCAGCCTCCATTCTCCTTACTAGGAAACCTATATGAGGACTGAGTTTCCCATTGGCTACATTTGTGTAGGGGGGTTAGGTCCAGTCCATGCATGGTCCTTGGTTGGTGTTTCAGTCTCCATAGGCTCCCCTGGGCCCTGGTTAGTTGGCTCTGTTGGTCGTCTTGTGGAGTTCCTGTCCCCTCTGGGTCCTTCTATCATCCCCCCCCTTCCACAATGTTGCCTGTGCTCCACCTAATGCTTTGTTGTGGGTCTCTGCATATGTTTACCATCAGCTACTGTATGGAGCCACTCAGAGGAAGCTATGCTAGGCTTCTGTCTGCAAACATACCAGAGTATCGTTAATCATGTCTCATGGGAGAGAGAGGGTTGGCTCTCTCCCATGGGGTGAGTCTGAGGTTGGGCCAGTCATTGGTTGGAGACTCCCTCAATCTCTGATTTATTTTTGTTCCTGCATATCTTGTGGGTAGGGTACATTTTAGGTTGAAGTTTTGGTGGGTGAGTTGGTGTTCTCCTCCCTCTACTAGGAGTTGTATCTAGTTAGAGGGTGGCCTCTTCAGTCCCCACATGACCCGTTACTAGGGGTCTCAGCTAGAGTCACCCTCATATCCTCCCTGGAGCCTACCCTGTCGTAGGTCTCCGACTTATAACAGGGAAGTCCCCACCCAAGGTTTCTCTTCTCTCAGCAAGCCCTTTGTCTTCCCACCCCTGCTCTTCCCAGGCCTGATACCAGCCCTCATTTCTCTCCTTCAGTAATTTTTCAGTTGGACTTGCAAGCTAAGATTTCCAAGTTTGATGTCTTCCTGTTTTAGAATATTCACCTTATATTAGTTTATGATGCTCTAGGCTTCCCTTGTCTATGATACCTCTTTTGGGGGTCGAAATATGATGTTGACATTTTGCACTGGATGTTGCTGCTAACTGAATGCTTTTTGAGAGCTAGGCTATCTTTCTTTGAGTTTGCTTAGTGCCTACCAAAGAGCATACCACTGAGTAGAGAACCAAAGGTTCTCTACTAAACCTTTAGTAGGTGATTGCTGTGATAGAATTAAGACTATGACACTATCATTAGGATAGCTGTTTCTTTATATGAAAGAAGGATCCCTAAAATGTTTTGAATCAAGGATGTTGTGCTGATGGTAGTATAAGAAATGAACTGACAGGTTTTTAGGTATAAAAATTCAGATCTTTAAAAAGGTAATTTAAAATTTTGAATGGAAACTACAGTATACATAGGTATAATTCAAAAGGAACATTCACGAGTGATTTAATCATAAGCCTAGTGTGATGCTATTGTGCCAATAGTTCTAGCAACATGAGAAGCTGAGGTGGAAGCATTGCTCATCCAAGAGAAAGATCAACCTGGGCAGCATACCCAGATCACTGCCTTTGAAAAAAGGAGACAAGTACATATTCCTTATATTTCTATTGAGGCCCCAGACTTCATGTTCGCTTTCCTAATGGTAACAGATAGGACTAGCTTCTTAACATGTGCTTCTGTAGGTGGACTTAACTGCATAATTTGTCTTTCTTGGCATAGCTCTTAAAAATTGAGGTTCTGGGGATCAAACCCAGGCCCTTGTACATACTTGACAAGTGCTTTCTCAACTGAGCAACATCCTGAGCCTCTGGGTCAAATTTTGCAATGTTTACTGTGATAAGTGAAAAATACATACAGAGATGCATCTCCATTTTTGTATACTCAGGAGTTATTTATTTATGAAGTAGTAATTGGTGGACTTACTGTATGTATCTTCTGTACCAGCTAACTTCCTAAGGTACATGGCGTGTACAGTCTGGCATGATAGCTTGTTTTCTTTTTTTTTTTTCTAAGAATGGTCTATAATAGAAAACAATACCATGAATTTAAAACAAAAACTAGGATATTTTAATGGCTTTTCTTCATTATATTTTAGATCTGCACCAAATGAGGCAGCAGCAAATCCTGAGTCACCTGAAGTCGTTGTTTTGGACGACTCTGATGAGAAAGATGATGACACTGCAGAAAGCACTGGAGAGAGAGACTCCGAGGATTCGGCATCTGTGGAAGAGATAGATTACAGACCTGGTCCTTCCCAGGAATGCGCAGAGGCAGCAGTTCGACCATCAGTTATTCAAAAATTGGAGCGGGGGCAGCAGCAGTCCTTGGAGTTGCCTCATAAAGTTGAGAGTGGTGTGAAAAAAGCTAATTCAGTCGGTGTTGTTCAGGCTTCAACTAGTGGAAAAAAGTTAGTGCGTCCCCCAGTGATATGTAATGCTCCTGCCAGCTCTTTGCCTAGAGGCTCTTTCGAGAGACCAGTTGCGGCTAACAATGTTCCTCGGTTAGTACTGGCAGTTGCTTCAGATTCCTTTCCAGCTTGTGACACAGAGAACCTTGAAACATACTTTGACCCCCCAGATCAGGGCTCTAGCAATCCATCACCTCAACCCAAAACTAAAGATCCAAAAAAGAAACCTTTAAGTATAAATTTAGACAAATTGCTTGCACAGAGAAATCTCAGAGCTAAGGGTGCATCTTTTTCCCCTGTGGTACGAGTGCGTGAGCTAACAGCCTCTGAGCTTTGTTCTGTAAGAGCTGAGTCTTCTGAGTTAGGGGCAGGTACAGCAGGAAACCCGAGTGAGACTGACACACCACCAGCAGTAAACCGTGAAGGTGCCATTCCAAAGCGTCGTGAGGCATCTCGTTCAAATATGGTTCGTTCCCAAGAAGAAACACGCTTGGTTATTAACAAGCCAACACTTGTGAAACAGAAGCGCTCAGTGATTTCTGAAGTGAAGCTAGATCGTGGCTCTTCTCATCCAACACCTGGTCATTCCCAAGGTGCTGTACACGACTTAAGTCTTTTGGAGGAGGAAGAAGAGGAAGAAGAGGAGGAGGAAGAGGAGGAAGTTGACCAAGAAGATGATGAGAGCTATGAATCCAGAGGTTCTGATATGAGTTTTGATTGTGGGTCCTCTTGTCAGTCACTGAGTGCCCTGTCTGACCTGACCACCAGAGAAATAAGCTTGTCAGAAGAAACACATGCTGATGCACAACCTGGGGATGAAGCACCCACTGTTTCTGGGGCAACTTCACATAACTACAGCACTTCTCGTCAGGTGGCTACCAACCACTCTCAGGTGATTACACAGAACATACAGCTCATTAGTCTGGTTGATGAAAGCTATGAGTCTAGTGGCTCTGAAGTGAATTTTGATGGTGATGACTCACTTCCATCAACTAGTCACCGTCCCCAACAGCCTGTGAGAGCAAGCCTCCCTACACAGATGCCCTGCCGCTTGGTTGACAGCTATGGAAGCGGCAGCTCTGAACCATGTGAGGATTCTGGGTCCTCCGCTGATGAGACTCCGGCAGCGGCAGTAGCAGCAGCAGCAGCAGGACAACAAAAACCTCTGGCGAATGCCCACGCACACCTGGTTGATGAGAACTACGGGTCAGGCAGCTTCAGTTCTGACAGCGATGCGGTCCTGGACCGTCCCCAAATGCCTGTTCAAGAAAGAAGCCCGAGAGACACCGCTGCCCAAGAGGAGGAACAGCAGCCCAGTAGTGCCGAAGCACGTCTTGAACATGATGCTTCTCTGGAGGCAGTGGCTGATGTACCCCAGAGAGAAACAGAAGAAATAAACCTTCTGACCCAGAATACCAGCCGTGGGGATATGAACTGTGAGTCTCATGGTCCTGAAATGGGTTTTCATGCTGATGCTCAATTAGAGGCTGATCAATCTCCAGTAAATCCCGAGGAAGTAGATCTTGACCTAGAAAATCAGAGTGTTCACTCTGGCATTTCTAATCTAAGCTCTGATTCCCATGCTTCTTATCAGTCAGCTAATGGTCAACCTCAAGGGGCTTGGGGAGAAGTAAATCTTGATGAGTTAAATGTCGACATGGAAGTTAAGAGCGATGGGTGCTCCAGTTCTGAGTTGACATTTGATTCCGATTCCCCTCTTCTGTCAGTTACTGAGCGGTCTCTGCTGGATGTTGAAGGAATAAACGAAGATGACTTTAACCTGGAAGATGAAAGCTGTGTGTCAAGTAGTTCTGACATAACTTTTGATTCTGATATTCCCGATGACTCAGTAGCTGACCAACCTCAAGTAGCTGTTTATGAGGAGGAACCTGTTGATCTGGAAAATAAGAGTAATGAATCTTGTGTTTCTGAAATAACATATGATTCTGATATTCCTCTTCATTCAGGAAATGATCACCCTGAAGTAGCTGTTAAAGAAGTAATGATTCAGGAAGAAGAAAACGTTCACTTAGAAGGGAAGAATGACAGTCCCAGTGGTTCTGAACTATGTTTGGATTCTAATGCCCCTCTTCATTCAGTGACTAATCCTGAAGTAGCTGTTAAAAAGATAAAAACCCCCAAAGAAGAGCAGGTACATATAGAACAAAAGGAAAATGAACCTACTGATTCTGAACTAAACTCAAAGCCTGCACGCTCTGAAGAGCCCATTATCTTACGTATTTCTAAAACAAGATTGAATTCTCACGCCCCCTTTCAGTCAGTAATTTGTAAATGTGAAGTAGTTGTCAAAAATGCATGCCTTCAAAAAGAAAAACAGGCTGAATCACCAAGTAAAAGTACAGAATCTCATTCTGAAGTAAGTTCAGCTTCTACTGCTTCTCCTCCAGTGACAGAACCTTATGTAGGTAAGAAAGCAAAGAGAAAGACAAAGCATCTTGAAGAAGTCAAGAGTGATGATGAATATGGTGGGTCTCAACCAACCTTCAATTCTGATGTTTTTCCTCGGTTAATGACTGAAAAACCTCAACCAGCTGCTTTGAAAGTAGGCCATGCTGACCCAAAAGATGAAAGTACTGAGCTTAGAGGACCTGAGGTAAATCAGAATACTGCTGGTTGTCTTGATTCAGTCATTAGCCAATCTCAGTTACCTACAGAGGAAAACCGTGTTGAACTGAAAGACACAAATGGCAAACCTAGTGATACGAAAGCAAGTGCTGATGCTGCCGGCCATTTTCACTCACTGCCTAAACAAGAGCATGATGTGATTACAAAAATGAACGAGTGGAAAAAAGAGGCAAAGGTCCTTGAAAAGAAGATCAGTGAACTTATTTATTCAAAATTAATACATGATTCTAATGTTTCTTTTCGTTCTGCAATGGATCAACTTGAACTAGCTCTTAAACAAATAAATCTTGATAGTAATGATCAAACGTCCTTGGAAGATAACAGCCAAGATACCTGTTCTGAAACAAATTTGGAGTCTAATATCTCGGTTCAGTCAGTAGTTGAACCACCTGAAGTGACTGTTTTGGAGCCCGAACACGTTGAGCTAGAAGGTAGGAATGATGAGTCTTGTGATTCTGAAGTAAGCTTTGATTCTAGTGACTCTTTCCAGCCCGAGGCTGATGGGCATAGCGAAAGTGGTGAAAAGAGAAGTCAGAAGGATGAAGATTGTCACCTGGAAGGTAAGAGGGAAGAAGCTCAGGGTTTTGGAAATTTGTGTGATTCCAATGTCCCCCAGCTACTGGCTAGCCAAACTGAAGTAGTTCAGGAGACCAGCCATTGGAAAGAACATGTAGATTTGGAAGATAAGATTGTTCAATCTAGTGACTCAAAAATAAACTTTCACTCTGATGAACCGCTTCAGTCTGTGACTAATACAGCCCAAGAGCCTGTTCAAGAAATAAATTTACCGAGGGGACATGGTAGTCCCAGTGATAATGGCTGTGAGCCCTGTGGCTCTGGAATAGTTTCTGTTTCAAATGTCATTTTTTGCTCAGTGATTCAGAAACCACAACGTCTACAAAAAGAGTGTACCAGTTTGAAAGTAAAGAGCAGCAATCGTTGTGGTCCTGAAGTTCGTGTTGTTCCCCGTGACAATCCTGAAATGCCTTTTGATTCCAGTGATCCATGTCAGTCAGTAGCAGGGCATCTTCAAAAACCTGTCAAAGAAGTGAACCTGAAGGAAGACCATATTTACCTAGAAGATAAGAGCTACAAGCTAGTTGATTTTGAACCAACTTATGATTGTGATGATCCTGTGCAGTTTGTGACAGATCCATCTGTGGAGGATGTGTCTATCAAAGAAGTACACCTGCAAAAGGAGAGTCATGTTGACCTAGAAAATGAGAACTTTCAGCCATGCTATTCTGAAGTAACATACAATTCTGGTATTCATCTGCAGTCAGAAGTTGACCCACCTCAAGTGGCTTGCAAGGAAGCAGACCTTGAGAAGAAAGGACTTGACATAGAAGACAAGTGCAGTGAATCTTGTGAGCCTGAAGTGGTCTATGACTCTGATGTCTCTTTTCAGATAGTAGTTAACCAGCTTCAAACTTCAGACGGAGAAGCAGATCCACCACAGGTGGTGTTTGTGGATGTGGTGTCCAGTGACAGTGACTGTGATCGGGAAGTCATTTCTGATGCCAGTATTCCTCTTCATCTAGGAACTGAGCCACCTCAGATGACTGTCAAAGAAAGCAGTGAGATAAACCCAGATTCTGTTGGTTCTGCGGCAGTAGAAAAGTACTACTGTAAATTCTGTGGTTGTGATTATGAAGCCTTTCAGTCACTGACAAACCAATCCAAGGAAAGTTTTAAAATAATAAATCGAAAGAATGACTATATTATTCTGGGAGATTCCACTTGTCCATCTTGTGGTCATGAACTCAGTTTCAATGTTGATGTCTCTGATCAGCCCACTACTTCCCAGTTACAAGGGCCTGGTCGTACTTATACTGTCCCAGAAAATAGGAGCTATGGATCTAATTGTCTTAAAAGGAATTATAGTTTTGAAGACACTACTCAGCCAATGACTCACCAACTACGGGAAAGTGGTGAAGACATCAATCTGTGGAAAGATCCAAAAAATGTTGTCTTTCAAGATAGGGGCTGGGAAGCCACTAGTTTTGCAGCAGACCGTGCTGCCTATGCTGTGTCAGTGATCCGCCAAACAGCTGTGCAGGACAACACTTTGACATTAGCAGACACAGTTCTGTCTGTTAGCCCTAACTCTTACGGATCTGAGCTGAATTTTCAGTACAATTCCTCGCTTCAGTCTGACACTGATCAACCTCAACCTGCTAAAAGAACACGCCAGCGTAAGAGGGTAACATTTGACTTGAGAGTAACTAAGTATGAATATCCACCAAACCCTTTGTACTGCATGGAAGAAGCAGAAAAGGTTGCAGAAGGTGGTCCTAATGAACTGGCTCATGAAGCCTCACCTCAGGACCCTCCTTCAGATGTTGGAAAAACATGTTCTCAGATGAGAGAAGATGATGTGAAAACAAACACACAGGATTTTCAAGGCCATCACAGTGACTGTGATGGCAGCTCTGAGACCCAGAATGTTTTTTTGGGTGAAGAAGGAAAGACTACCTCGTCTGACCTTAATCAGAACAATTCAACATCAATTCAATATGTTGAAGGCCAAGTTGGAGACACTGGTGACTTTTCAGTGACCTTAGGTAAGCCATCTCATTCCCCAGCAGAGGGCCATCACCCGGAACATGGGCATGGGGCATATCAGAACCAGGTAAGAGGAGTCAGATGTGGAACTCAAGCAAGTTCTGGGAAGAAGAGGAAAATGCCAGAAGAAGATGATGAGGATTCACCAAAAAGGAAGCATTTCCAATATGATAGCCAGAAAAAAAAAAAAGCCGAAACGGAGACAACTGAGTTACCTGCCCCACAAGCCCAAGTTTTAGAGCCTGTACAGCCTGATTCCTTGGTCTACATATTTTCTTCTCTAAGTATGAAGGAAGATCAGTCTTTGAACCCACCCAAAACGAAGCGTGGCAGTGGCAGTGATTTACGATTCATATACAGTTGTAAAGAGCATACCTTTTCTGGCCCACTACGTAAGAAAACTGTGATTAATCCTCCACAGAACCTAAAGGTACCAGACTTTGACAGACATGAGGTAGTTGGCACTGATCTTAAAAGGCGTGATTCAAGGTCCAATGCAGGAGAGAGTGGTGCCAACAGACAAAACTTGGCTTCAACATCTTCAGTGACAATGCCAAAAAGATCTGTGTTAAGGTTCTATGGGACCAGTCAGTCTTCACTTCTAAAAAAATCAGATGTGGGTACTACTGAAGTTCTAAAGGATACTTTCCAGCAGACTCTTGTAAAATGTGACAGTGCCAGAAAATTTCCCAGATCAGTTGGAAAGGGCTCTTTTGAAAGTAAAAGTGAAAAGAAGTTTTGGAAAAAGAAGTTGGTTGTAGCTGCAAGTACAGCATGCTGTATCAAAAATGCTTGTAAAACAATGGTTCTTCGGAAAAAGACAAGACTAGCTTCAGAAAAACTGGCTATTTGGGTTCAGATGAAAGCAACCGACATCATTAGGAAGTATGTCTCTAGATGTCATGGTACCGTGCGTCGGAGACATCAGTCAAAGACTGTTCTTATTAGAATGCAACTGAGGAAGAAGAAAATAGTTGCCAGGAAGATAAAGGAGGCCAAGAGAGCAGCTGAAGCACTTTCGAGCCCTGCAGTCCTCCCAGCTGTTGCTCAAGAGGAGCAGAGTCCTCCTGCAGGGCCTGCAGAACAACCTGCTCCTCTTCCCGATGCTTCGGGAGTAAAGAGCTATCGGAAAACTTACTACCGCAGAAAGAAGAGACTGCTTCCTGTGAGAGAATATGACCTGAGAAGTTTGAGTGCCACACCAAGTACCGACAGGATGGTGACACGGCTTGCAAGCAAATCCAGAAGTAATGAGGCAAAATAAAAGTGCATGTCTTAGCAGATGGAGAGCGCAGTCCTTCACTGAGATGAAACACATTGGAGACTTGAGTGCACATGCTTTTCCCAGCTTTGGTGGGGAAAATGACCTCACACTATTTTGCTACAGATTTTATTTTTCAGAGATTTTATATTAATTTAAAATTAGTGTTTAGGGTCCTTTTTTTTTTCTTTTAAAGATTTAAAAGCAACCTTTGTCCCATATCTGTAGAAGAGCTTCATCTTAATTTGTCTTATAATTTAGCATACCGTATAGAATTTTGTCCCTTAAATTATGTTCATATTAATTTCCTCTAAAAATCTTTTGTGCCAAACAGTTATAATACTGGGAGAGTGAACACAGCAAAGTTATTAATGTCATTTTTTAAACAATTGGGACAGATGTACTTAATTAGTTACCATGTTTCTGAGTTGAATCATCAATAAGTATTCTAACTGGATAATAAAAAGAGTGACATTGTGCTATCTCAATTCTCGACTATGACTGACTTAAATGATCACAAGAATATAGTTTTTTTTTCTTTTAAAGGCATTCCATAAAATAATTATTTAATCCAGTTTTTTAAAAGTGCCTGGTGATTTTTATAGGCAACAGAATTTATTTTTCTTTCATTTAAATTGGATCTGCACATCTGTAGCTTTCCTCGTTTGGACACATAGCCACAAATCTTTTTGTTGGCATTATTAAATCTTACTTGGAAAAGATTTTTTGAATTTGATTAGGCTTTGAAGCTACTTTTCCTCCCCTTACTAGTAATCTAAAATGAACATTCAGATAATTTTATCATCGACTTTATTAAATTTCAGACAACATATTTTAAAATGTTGAACTGAAGTTATTGGTTTGACAATAGTATGTGGGCTGGCCATTAATTGTCATTAGTGAAAAACTTCAATGTTTCAGAAAAATCAAGTTAAACTAGTAACCCAAATAGAGACCCACTATACAAGTAAAAATTGATTTATCCATCAGTTTATCTTAAACTATCTAATTATCTTAAACTAGCTAGATAGTTCAAGGTTAAACCAATAGGATGTTTTATCTTAAACTACCTAATTGATGTTAACAGTTGAGATAATGCTTGGATACACAGTGTGAGCCTCTGGTACTTGAGTATATTCCTTTAAGGGTCATTGACTGAGCTGGTGCAGGCGCACCCTCTTTTCTTGTTCAGTCAAGACCTGGATCTCTTTCTGTCATTGATCTTCGGAGGAAACACAAAGTTTCCCTTTATTGTGTAACTACTATATTTTATTGAAACTAGATTCAGTGTTAAGATGTGTCTTGATTTCAGAGAAAAAAACTGTGTTACCTTAGAATTAATGAAATATCAGTGTGGTTTTGTTTCAGGGGCCATTATTTAACCCGTGAGTCATTAATGATGATACTGTTGTCTTTTCTTCTGAATATAAATGGTAATTCTATTGCAAAAAGTGGACAAATCTGTTTTTTTTTTAAGTTGGTAAGTAGTATATTTACTTTCTTCAACCTTGCCTCTATATAGAAACATTTAAATTTCCTCAAAAAATCTCAGTGGGCCACTAGTTTTTTTTTTTAAAAAAATCCTCAAATTTTAATTAAGGAAGAAAACTCTGTTTCACCGATTAAGAAGTAAACGCCTAAAAGTATTGTTTGCAGGTGTTAATGTCGTTTGTCGTTCCCAGACACCATTAATAAGCCCTTACAATGTAAGTTAAAAGTGGGAGTTCATATCCAATGACCTATGGAATTATGCCAAATTATATCTAGAAAATGATTCCTATAATTCAAATTTAAAGTTCAGAAATGTTAGTTTTCTTTCACAAATTGGAAACTTTTCTGTGTACCTTTTAAGGGAGAGCAAGGAAATAATTCATATGTAAAGTTCATATCATCAAAAATATAAAATGTCTGGTACAGAAATGATGGTTTTTGTTTAGCATTTTGCAAGTGTTTACTACGTTCTTGTAAGGATTATTATTTTAGGCAAGCTTGGAAACTTGAAATTGTAAAACTTAAATTGGAAGTGAATTATTCCAGAATTTGGTAGGATATAAGATGTGCCCCTTTGTCTACATAAATGTTGACTTAATTTTCAGGCTAGGTTGAAGCAATTGCTTATTTTGTGTAGTCAAGAGTGCACTATATTCTTTTAATAGTAATACATCAGAGTACAACCATAGTGAATATTTTGTTAATCTTGTCCTTTTTAGTATCTTGAATAGATTTTTATTGTAATTGTTCTGGTGTATACAGTATGTGGACAATATTGTGTAAAGAGTGTTTTTTGCATTTGTGCATTTAAATTATTTATGTAACTAGGGCTCTGAGTAACACTTTTTTTTTTGCTTAAAGAAACGCTATATTTAAATATTCAAATAATTATATATTTCCATGTAAAACTAATGTGAAGACCGATGTATTTTTTATAATGCAATTTAAAGTGTAAACTTGTTTTGATGTTATCAAGATAAATTTATTAAATATTGAAATTTGTGTGTACTCTCTCCTCATGTTAAAACCTTTCCTGGAAATACTTAAAAAGAATCAGAGAGTAATCAAGTCTGAAGTAACTCTGTAAAAGGCCTGAGAGATGATAAATAAGAGAATGCAAATGTTGATGCTGGCGAGAAAATAGTTTAACCAAAGATGCACAGGTTATACTCAAATCAGTAGTTATTTCAAAAGATTAAACAACCACTAATTTGCCTGGTGGAGTGATGGGGCAGCTGTTTTACTTGTGTACCTGCACTGAAAGGATTGAGTTCAGGAGGCAGGATCCATACCATCATCTGACCCCTTTTGGGAAAGGCAAATTCCCAAACCTTCCATCTACCTCCCTGTCTTCTAGTGCCATAGCATATGAGAATGATGACAGGATGACTTGGAAGAATATGTGAGAGAAAAGTGGAATAGGTGGTTTTCACTGTAGAATTATTGACTTACAGAATTTGTTGGTCTGGGATGTTGCTAGAATGAGAATTATCTTACTCTTTACAATGAGAAGTTGCTACTTTTTTAGTGAAGGACTTTTATGTTTAGAATCACGGAATTGTAGACATATATACCAAAATGCCAACTTGAGGAAATTGAAGGTAAGGAGACTTAGTATTTCCTCATCTCTTACCCAAATCAACTCAAAATTTAAGGGGAAAAAAGAATAATTTAAAACATTTCCCTTTGTCCTTCTACTTTATATGTATAAAGTTCTAAGTATTTTCAGCTATGGGCTTAATTTTTAAAATTTTTTTTGCTTTGAATAAGGATTGGTTTGAGGATGAAGTAGTTTGTTGCTGGATCTTTATATTATTTCTAGGCTTATTTATTTTAATAACCATTAAACCTGGAAAACAATTTATTTCCCAGATTTATTATTTCCAAATTTAGTATGTGTACATATTGAGCTCTTCTTGAGTACAGCACATTGTCCTGAGCTTTAACTGTATTATGTCCCTTAATGTTTGTGTTTGGGAGCCTTGTTGGATACTGTAATGATCACTATGATGTGAGAAGGTTGAGGCATAGAGTAGTTACCTCCTTCCTGCCCCCAGTTAAGACCATCCTCTAGTTCCTGTCTCCTTAGTCTCTCTTCCCTGCTTAGTTCATAAAAACGGTACCTTTATGTTAGTGTTTTTCTTTCTTTCCTTTTTTTATTTTTATTTTTTGCCTTGTTTCATTTATCATGATTAGGTTTTTGTTGTTTGGTTGGCTGGTTTTGAGAGTCTTTTGTGTTATAGCATGCTGAGTATTTTGGTTTTTTAATTACTTTTTAGCAGTTAGTTTTAAATTTACTTGAATTTTTGTTTTTTATTGTTTTGTATTTATGCCTCTGAGAGCTGAGCCCAGGGCCTTGTGCATGTGTCAAGTGCTCTGCTGTGCTGTACCTCCAGCTCTCAGAGAGTCTTTAATGACATGACTACCAGAATCTTTGTCTCCTGACAACAGATGACAGAACCAGCAGGTGTGAGGCTAGCTTTGTTCCCTTCATGGCTCTTATCTCATTACTCCTCAGATCCAAGACTGGATGGCACAGTTGCCTTTGGCTGTGTTCTTGTGGCTCACTTGAGTGTTGTGTGCCCTCATGATCTTTGACTCCTTTTCCTGTCCATCGTGACATTATTTTCCATGTGCTCAGTCAGTTCTCATTTTCAGCATCAACCCATCACCTCATGCTCTCAATCCTTTCATGATGGAGTGCTTGCAGGTAACTGAAATCTGAGAACGATAAATAGATTGCTAGTTTAATCCGGTTGTGCCACAGAGCCAAAAAGTGTGTTGGTGGCAGCCTCTTGGTTAGGTTGCTCTCCTGCATATTTAGATACTTACTGTCAAAGTCAGGAAGTCAACATTGAGCTCATCTATCTACTCTGCAGACCTTATTCAAATTTTGCAATTTATCCCAAAATGTCCTCTGTAGGTCCTGGATTTGATCCACAGTTACTGACTTCATGGATACTTTGTTGATTTCCTCGGTGTGGAGCAGTTTCTCGCCTGTCTGTTCTTGGTAGCATGGCATTTTGAAGGTACTGGTTTATTTGTGGAATATCATTGAGTTTGAGCTTGTCAGATGTTTCTTTGTAATCTATGCATTTTTGGAATTCTGTGTTCTCAGTGTGTATTAACAGAAGCCATGTGATGTCAGTTTGAATAAATGTGGTGATAGAATATATCCTGTGTTTGTCTTTATTTTATGAAAAATTCCTTTTGAGAACCACAGAAATGGGGAGCTGCATCTCTTTGAGGTTTTCAAAATTAATTTACACATAAAGTTTCATTAGATCTGTCGATTGTGTGTTTGCTCACATGTGATAAAGTGCATGTGTGGAGGTCAGGGGACACTTTGCTAGAGTCAGCGTTCTACCATGTAGGCTCCACTGATCAACTCACGGCATTAGACTTGGAGGAAGGCCTCTGCACTTGCATACTCATTAACAGCTAGCTTTTACAACTAACTTTTTTGGTAGTTGTGACTGAAAATTTGGTGGTGCACACCTCCATTCCTGACCATTTTGGGGGAGACTCAGGTGGGAGGGTTCAAATTCAAGGGCAAGTATGACTATATTGTGAGACACCCTGTAAACTGGGGCAGAGTGTGGGATGGTGGCTTCAGGAGGTCAAGGCAGGATTATTGAGAGTTCAAGGCCAGGCTAGATAGCAACACCCTGTCTCAAAAAACAAAACCTAACCAAAAAAAAAAAAAAATCCATAATCATGGAAGGCAGATGGCAAGTTTATGTATATATTTAGCAAATACTCTATCCCTACAGCCCCAGTATCCCTACATGCCTGGCCCAACTGTAGGTTCCAAGAATCCAGACATAAGTGGTAGCTGGTCTACTGAGCTGTAAGTCTTTGCCGAAATAGGTACATTCTTTTCCTTCATCTCTTTCAGTCAAAATAGCCAATTTCACTCACTAGACATGAAATTTTGTGCAAAAGTTCCTTTTAACTACTCAGGTTAGAGAGAAACACTATAGAAAAAAGTATAAGCACTTTGTAGCACAGATTCCATGAGTTTTAAATGCTCTATGGAATAATCATGAGATCCAGTTTCTTAACCCCT